GTTTTATGCAGGAACATTTTTTCTGCCAATTTTCTGGATACTGAAAAGTATATACAGCCCTGAATTGCCTACTCTAAACTTTAGGAAGGAATGTTTCTGTGTGCCTTGCACATGGTGGTATATCAAGATGCGATAATAATAATAATAATAATAATAATAATAATAATAAGCTGACACAATATGAGGATTTAAAGATTGAACTGCAAAGACTGATACAAGCCAGTAAAGGTGGTCCCAGTGGTGATCGGCACACTGGGTGCTGTGCCTAAAGACCTTGGCCTGCACTTCAACATAATTGGCGCTGATAAAATTACCATCTGCCAGCTGCAAAAGGCCACTTTACTGGGATCTGCACGCATTATTAGCCGATACACCACACAGTCCTAGACACTTGGGAAGTGTCTGACGTGTGATCCAATTCAACAACAAGCAGAGTGCTCTTGTCTGCTCTGTACTCATCTTGTTGTGTTTCAAATAATAATAATAATAATAATAACAACAACAACAACAACAGCAACAACAACTTTATTTTTATAGCCCACCTCCATCTCCCCGAAGGGACTCAAGGCGGCTTACAAGGGATGTGTCCAGCAAATACAGATTAAAAACAAGCACAGAAATACAGTCAATATCTAAAAACAATAAAACATGATAGTAAGACGAACATCTTAAACCATTATCGTGGCTGAACAAACAATTAATGGGCTTGGGTTAATGATTCCTAGATGCAATTATTCCTATGTAGCACCAAGGGCAAGTGTGGAAAATGGAGGGTTGGGCTAAGAGGCGAATGCCCTTACATTATTGAAGTGTTAGAAGTGCTAGAAGGGACCAAACCAAAGTGCAAGAGCTTAGATAAGGTTGGGAATTTCTTTGGTGAGCTACCTAATCGAAAGCACAATGGAACTAGGTTTTTAATTCCTTGTGGAAAATGGAGAGTGGGGGCCTGTCTGATCTCCCTTGGAAGAGAATTCAAGAGCCGAGGGGGCACCACAGAGAAGGCCCTTTCCCTTGTCCTCATAAGGTACTGGTTTCCAACCCTTTTATTGTCAATAGCTCTATGAGCCCCTTTAATATGTTGGCACATCCTTAAAAAGTGTAGCCAACTTCCCCTGCCTATAAAAAAGAAGCAAAATCTGGGAATAAGAATGCAGCACATCTGGAGAATACTAGCAAAAGCTAAACATTTCAGATAGATGCCTATCATACTCCTTTATTTACTGTCAAGAGGATAATCTACTGAATATCTTTCCAAAAGCCACAATACATGCAATGGTACTATCTTAATATAACTAAAAATGATATACTTCCTTTCTTTTATTTTCCTCTGTTTTCTTACCTGGCATTATTTATTTATTTATTTATTTATTTATTTACTGTGCACATGTCAAATGAAGACCATAGCATTGGGAGGAATGAAAAGCATTTTTCTTCCTGAGCCACATTCTTGTAGAAGATTCTACCCAGAGCTATCACTTGCTCCTATGTTTACTCTTAAAGGAGCAAATAGCTTCAGAGAAGAAGCTTGTATTTTTGTTAACTAAAATGGTAGTTATGGTTATGGTGCTTTACCAGTGCTTCACTTCCAATGCCACACTCCATAAATAGAACAGAATAACTTTATTGTCATTATACAACAAAATTAAATGCTTTATGTGTGAATATTCAAAGAGTCAGAAAATCTCATTCATCTCATCCTGTCTCAGCTTCAGACACTAAAACGTTCATTATCTTTCTGTTAAATCCAGTGATCCAGAAGTTTATGGCTTCATAATTCCTTAAGGATGGCACACTTTTGCTTAAAAGAAGAAAGTGAGAAAATCTTGATATTATTTTATTTGTTGATCTGACAGACTGGAAATAGCTCAATATTGGAAAGAGACCAAGAGGTTTAATTTAGCTCACTGGACAGCCAGATTGTAGAAACTGGCTTTATTTGGAAAAACAAAGTTGTCAAACTCAAGAGTTTAAGGGCAAATTCCTCCAATGGAATCCAGAAGGACTGATGCATTTCTTGAGGCTGCATGTTTGGGAAATAACTTCTTTTGCAGAATATTGTTTTTATGCCCTGAATGTGATCTAGTACAGGGCTTCTTAAACTTTTCTCGCATGCAGCCCTTTCACCCCAGAATTTTTGATGCGACCCCCAGGTATACAAGTGTATAAAATATGTATAAAAACTGAACATTTACTGGTAATAAATCAGCACTGGCAAGGCTTGCTAAACAGGTTGATTTCCTTTTTATGAATTACAATCGAAGCATTTTCTGCAGAGTCCACTGTAAACATTGCATGTTGCTAACAGAGCTGTGTAAATGGGTGGCATTCAGAAACCTTTCATTGTTGCCAATTTTTGGCGATCCCAACATTGAGCTAAGTGGACTCCATTTGGTTTCGGGTCCCACAATTTTAGAAGCTCTGACCTAGAAGGTAGCTCCTGTGGTGGTTCCACAGACGCATTCTTCTATGGGATCCTTCCTGGCGAAGGTGGGCATTTGGGAAGTGAAATGCTGTGTCCTAAAGTCCTGTAGGATTTCGGCATTATCTTCCAATTCCCTGCTTGGTTGATTAATTGTTGAGGGATGGTCTGGGAGAAGTTCCAAACTTTTTGGCAGTCTACAGATGGCAGGCTTGGAATGGGTCCTAGAGACTGGTTTTAATGGAATCCGCAGTCCTCAAATGGAAGACTCGAAGTTGGAGAAGAAGGGTATCTGATGAGGATGAAGCAGTGGTCTGTGGCTGTTTTTTTTTTTTTTGGGGGGGGGGATAAGTTTAAGGTTCTGCTATAGAACACAGTTGTGGCTTGAATAGCTCCTACAACATGGTTCCTGTGCCCTACACTGTAGAATGCAATTTGACACCACTTTTCCATGGCTTAGTGTGAAAGTGTCAAACACAAGGGCTGTGGACCAAATCTGGTCCACTACATCATTTTATGTGGCTTTCGAAGAATCAAAGAGCTGGAAGAGACCACATGAGCCATCCAGTCCAACCCCCTGGTATGCAGGAAAAGCACAATCAAAGTATCTCTGGCAGATGGCCATCTAGCCTCTGTTTAAAAGTTTCCAAGGAAGGATCTTCCACCATACTCTGAGGCAGGGATACTTTGATTTCACTGCTGAACAGCTCGTACAGTCAGGAAGTTCTTCTGAATGTTCAGGTGGAATCTCCTTTCTTGTAATTTGAACCCATTGTTAGGTTGTTTATTTTATTGCAATTTGTATTTTTGTATTGTAATTTGTTGTTCGGGCTTGGCCCCATGTAAGCCGCTCCAAGTCCTCGTTGGGGGAGATGGTGGCGGGGTATAAATAAACATGATGATGATGATGATGATGATGATGATTGCTAGTTCTAGTTTCAAGGGCAATAGAGAACAAAGCCTGCTCCCTCTTCCTTATGACATCCTCTCAAATATTTAAACATGGCTACCATGTCTCTTCTCAACATTCTCTTCTGCAGGCTAAACATACTCAGTTTTTTAAGCTGCTCCTCATAGGGCGTCATGGTCTCCAGACCTTTGATCATTTTGTTGCCCTCCTCTGGACACCTTCCAGCTTGTCAATATCTCTTTTAAACTGTGGTGCCCAGAATTGGACACAGTATGAGGTTAGTAGAATACAAAGGCACCATGACTTCCCTCGATCTTGACACAATACTCTTTTTGATGCAGCCCACTATCCCATTGGCTTTTTTAGCTGCTGAATCACACTGTTGGCTCATGTTCAAGTTGTTGTCCACAAATGGTCTTTCTCACATGGACTGTTGTCGAGCCAGGCGTCTCCCATTCTGTATCTGTGCATTTCATTTTTTTCTGCCAAAGTGTAGTATCTTACATTTGTCCTTGTTGAAATTAATTTTGTTAGTTTTGGCCAATCAGTTCTCTAAACTGTTAAAAGTCATTTTGAACTCTCCTCCTGTCTTCTGGAGTATTAGCTATCCCTCCCAATTTGGTGTCATCTGCAAAATTTTGAGCGTGCCCTCAAAACCTTCATCCAAGTCATTAATAAAGATGTTGAACACACTGTGCCCAGGATCAAACCTTTTGGCACTCCACTAGTCAGTTATTTCCAGGATAAAGAGGAACCACTGGTGAGCACCCTTTGGATTCAGTCGCTAACCAATTACAGATCCACCTAATAGTAGCATTACCTAGCCCACATTTGACTTGTTTGCTCGCAAGATCATAGGAGACTTGTCAAAGGCCTTGTTAATTTGTTCATTCGCTTCCGCCTCTTCGTGACCTCATGAATCAGCCCACGCCAGAGCTCCCTGTTGGCCGTCACCATCCCCAGCTCCTTCAAGGTCAAGCCGTTCACTTCAAGGATGCCATCCATTTATCTTGCCCTTGGTCGGCCCCTCTTCCTTTTTTCCTTCCATTTTCCCCAGCATCCTTGTCTTCTCTAAGATTTTATGTTTATCCGGTTCAAAGCAGAGAATGTGGACTGTCTGCTTTGATAACCTGGACTGTCAAATCTGGGTGATACAGCAGTGCAGAAGGGGCTCAGAAAGGCGTGGCTTCCGTCCAGCTCCACCCTTGCCCTCATTCCCAACCTTTGCCCTCCTAACGCTTCCTCTTGGCTGTGTATCTCACCCTCCTTCCGGGTTTTCGGAGCACACAGTGAACGAGACTTCGGGGGTTTGTTTGTTTTGATTTCTTGGCGCGTTTTGAAACGTCAAAACAAAAGCAAAACGAAACCAAAGGGGGAAAAACCCAAGCGCGACGTCACATACAACCCACAGCTGACAAGCCGAGTCCCACAATGCATCGCAACCCCTGCTTTGCCGCTCAACCTTCCTTGCTTTACTATGCCCGCCTACCGGGAGAACTAGGCCAACTCTCTATTGGTTGCCGCGGATGCCCGTCTTGCATGGGATTGTGTCTTTTGCTGCTTGGACCTGAGTCTTGGAAATCAGCCTCCAGAAGGACGGAGCGTTCCCATTGGATGCTAGTCCTTCCGTCATGAGAGGCCGGTCCCTGATTGGCTGTGGCCAGGAAGCTCGGGTCCGCTGTAACCAGGCAGCGCGGTAGGGTGAGCGTTGTTTCCACGTCAGTGAGAGGAGCGGAGCCGGTGCCTGGCGTCCCTCAGAGACCCTTCTCCTCCGGGAACCCGGCGCTGCCACAGTCGCCTTCACGGCATGCCAAGGCGGCCGTCGACGCCGCCCGCCAGCAGCGCCATTTTGGATGCCGGCTGGATGGAGGGGTGAGTGAGTGAGGCACACGGGGCGGCCCTTGCCTGGGCCTCTCTCTTCAGGCGAGGAGGCCTGGGGCCAAGGGTGGCGATCCAAAGGTTAAGGTGAAGAAGGGGGGAGGGGGGGGGGAAGAAAGCAGGGCGCAAAGGAAAAGGCCTGTCTTCGGCCTAGCTCTCTACCCTGCCCACAAACCCCAAGCATTCTCTTCCTCCTACCATCGAAGGCTGCGAAGGAATAGGTGAAAGGCCTCCTCCTGGTTCTGACAGATCCCAGGCCCGCCCCAAAACTTGCTCACTCCTCCTTTCTTTCGAGGAAGAAAACAGTGCTTCAGAAGGCCCACTATGTTAGGGCCCTTCCCCACAGCCCTATATCCCAGAATATCAAGGCAGAAAATCCCACAATATCTGTTTTGAACAGGGTTATCTGAGTCCACACTTTAATCATGTGGGATTTTCTGCCTTGATATCTGGGATATAGGGCTGTGTGGAAGAGCCCTAAGGGCCTTTACACACAACATTATAGAACTCAAAATATCAAGGCAGAAAATCCCACAATATCTGCTCTGAACTCGGTTACTTATTTATTTTGTATCAAAAGCATTGCATACATTAGTATAAAACCGATAAAAATAGAAGGAGCGTAGGTGGCGAAATATCTTTTGACCAAAAACGGGCAACAGCAATGGCATTTATAGGTAAAGGTAAAGGTTGTCCCCAGACATTAAGTCCAGTCATGACTGACTCTGGGGTGTAGTGCTCATCTCCAATTCTAAGCCGAAGAGCTGGCGTTGTCCATAGACACCTCCAAGGTCATGTGGCCAGCATGACTGCATGGAGCAGTACCTATTGATCTACTCTCATTTGCATGTTTTCGAACTGCTAGGTTGGCAGAAGCTAGGGCTGACAGCGGAAGCTCATGCCACTCCCTGGAATCGAACCTGCGACCTTTATTATTATTATTATTTATTATTATTATTAACTTTATTTATACCCCGCAAAATCTCGCGAAGGACTTGATGCGACTTACAATGGCCAAGGCCGCCAACAAACAACAACATACAAATATAACAGTAAAACTCATAACCAAATAATAAAACATCAAGCAAAACAATAAAACTCTAAAAACAATTGACACCATGACACATTTAAAAACCTAAAGGCCGGGCCAAGTGTAATGGATAAAATTTAAAAGTGCTGAACTTGACATGAGGTATGTCAACAAGCTCACCAGCTCAGCGCTTTAACCCACTGCGCCACCGGGGGCATTATCTATAGCCTCCAACAATTCTTCCTCTGTACATGAGGCAGGGCATAGTGGACAAACATACAAGCGGTGTTGTCTGTTCTGCTCCACAGTCACACAAGTTGTGGGATTCTTTTAGATAGTGCCATTTTGCCAGGTTGTCTTTTGATCTGCTCACTCCACTTCTGAGTCTATTCAGGGACTTCCAGGTTGCCCATTCTTGGTTTGCCCCTGGAGGAAGACACTCGGGGGGGGGGG